TAGACCTTGGAGGGTGCCCTGGATCCCCTAGCTGGAGCCACATCCACTGAGGCCTGGTGCGAGGGGACTGGAATGGGACTGATGGGGGGGTAAGCATTCCCAAGTGCCTCTTGCTTGCTTTTATGCATTGCTCTGTCTGTGCTTATTGACCTATTACTTTGCAGTAGCTGCGTATCCGTCCATAGTGAGATTAATAAAAGCAACAATCCCTAATTGACTCTGTCTTGAAGCAAATCTAAAACCCTGTTGGGCCCTGGCCCTGTGAGTTCACACCGCCCTTCACTCCGTTTGTGTTCTCTAAGAAGGTGAGCATGGCAGCGCCATTTACCCTTGTAGGCAGGTGCCAGCCAAGTGGTGTCCTGACAGGAATCTCCCCGTCATGTGTTGATAACTGTTCGCTTGTGTGTGTGTGTCTGTGTGTGTGTGTGCTCCTTCTTTGTGCTGCCTCTGCTCTGTGCAGATGGTCAGTACAGCAGACCCTTTGAGAACCACCAAGCACAAGAAGTAGTCTAGCAGCATCATATATAAAGTAGCCCCGGGTCTGTGAGTCTGTGACACTGAAATGCTGGCTGTTCCCTCTGGGGGGGCACTGTTGCCTGAAATGCTGGCTGTTCTCTCTGGGCAGGCTGTGCTGCATGGGGAGCGCGGGGCCCTCCCCCGTGGGGGCCCGGCTGAGTGGCGCAGAAGTCAGCCGAGCGCCACGGCAGGAGGCGAAGGGGGGCGGGGCGGTGATGTGCAGCGTGACTCCAGGCCCCGCCCCCTTTGCCTCTTGCCGTGGTGCTCGGCTGAGTTCTGCACTGCTGAGCCAGGCTGCCGCGTGGGAGCAAGTGGCGCAAGCAACCAGTTAGGATCTGCGCTCCCCATGCAGCATGGGGAGTGCGGAGCCCAAATGGCCGTTTGGGCTCCATGGTGCCCAAGTGAGAGGCAGGAGGGGGAGGAGAAGAGAAAGAGAGAGAGAGAGAGAGGGAGGCAAGAGGAGGAGGAGAGAGAGAGAGACCGGAGGCTCAGGAGAGAAGACCGACGTGGAGGAGAGACCTGAAAATCCCGTTTTATGACGGGCTAATTGCCTAGTCTTAGGGATTAACAAATATAAAGGATCAGGAGCTATCGTAGGCAAAACCCACTTCATCAGATGAGTTGGAGTGGAAAACACAGGTAAATATAAAAGCAAAAGCTGTTACCTGTCAATTGTAAGACCCGTATTAGTGAGGCTAATTAAGTGAGCTGGACGTGTCCCATTCATAACTATTCATGTGAAAATGCGAATGTCAAAGGCAGGGGAAATTGGCTTTGTAGTGTGTTAACCAGTTAATATCTTTATTCAAGCCCAGGTTCTTCAGCGAGTGGTATGCCGGTGGGCGCTCCACTCAGGTCTCGGTGCGTCCTTGCGCTGGGGATCAGAGAGTTTTGTAGAGCAGTGCCCCTCGCGCCGCGCTTGCACACCTGGCGTCTCGCACCCCTGCCGTTTGTGGAGTGTGCGTGTGGCGCGAGTCCCGTCTGTTCCTTTTCTACCTGAGGTCCCTGGGGACTCCAAGCAGAGGGGAGGATGGGAGGGTAGTGGAGCACCCACAGGGACACACATCTCGAAGAACCATCGTTACTGCACCTGGTGAGTAACTTCTTCAGCGATTGGTGTCCCTGTGGAAAGAGTTGTGGGGGAGGACACAGTAACAGAGCCCAGCCACCAGGTGTGCAGTGGCACCATTGGGGACAGTGTTCCTGACGGCTTGTAGTCCATCCTTGTGCGGAATGGTGGTGTAGAGCATCTACATCCACGGTGGCCAGGATGGCGTTTTCAGCAAGATCACTGATGCTCTGTAGTATCCTCAGGAAGTCAGTAGTGTGCGAAGACAGCTAGGAGTGCTGGTCGCATAGGAGAGAGTCAACATGTGGGTAGACTGTGTACTTACATACTCAGTAACTGTGCATTCAGTGTAGGTGAGCAATTGGGCAACGATTCCCCTGCCCGCTTTTCTGTTTAAATCGTCCCATATCCTGCCCTGAACGTAGCTGAAGAACGTTTAGTTTAAATGACATAACCCGTGAGAATGGACTTTACCCGGGGTACCGATAGGCCAGAAGAACACACGGCTCTTGCCCACGAGCAACAAGGTCCCCTTTTAGGCCCATCTCCCACCCTGCAGCTGCACCTTTAAATGACTCCATGAGTTTAGCACGAGGCAGCAGAGTTCCCCTGATGAGTTCCCCTTTCCTCCTAACCCCGCTTTCTTGGCTCTGTAGCTAAGGACATCTGCAATCTCCCTGCGGACTCCGGCCCGTGTTTTACCTACACTCGCAGCTACTTCTACAACCCAGCCAGCAAGAGGTGTGAGGAGTTTCTTTATGGCGGCTGCCAGGGCAACGGGAACAGGTTTGACACGATGTACAGGTGTCTCAAGACCTGCGGAAGCTCAGGTAAGACAGCAAAAGCTCAGCTAGTTGGGTCACCAGCTGCCCGGGTCTGAGGGATGCGATTGAAAAGCAGCTGGCCATGGAGGCAAGGATGATGGATTGGCTGCGTCCCAGCAGTGCCTGGAGCAGGCCTGGGGCAGAGAGAGCAGCGGGCCTTGGCTCCCGGTTCCCCTGCAGCAGCTGGAGCCCCAACCACTGGAGCAAGTGTGCTCCAGCTCACCCTGAAGGGCTGACAAGGGCAGGCTCGCCCCAGCCCAGCCTTTCTCACCGGGACCTGCCCCTACCAGGGGCTCAACCTGGTCACCCTCCGGCTGGGGAGCTAATGACAAGAACTGCCCGGCTGGACACGTCTCCAGCCCTGCCCGCTGGCTGCCGCAGGGACTCCCCCTTGTCTCTGGCACAGCGGGGGCGGGGCTCACGGGCAGGTGTGTCCCAGACTCAGACACTGCAGGGTGGGCGGAATGGCCACAGGGCAGCCATGGGCAGAGCTGTCCTGCCCACAGGACGGTTGGGGCGGTTGCACCAGGCTCCGCACTTTGAGGGGCCCCGAACCCTTGTAGGGACAGGGCTGGCCAAGGCACCTGGGCATTTCCCCTCTAGCCCTGGAGCCCAGTTTGCCTCGGCCCAGGGACCCTGCAGCAGTCGCCTTCTGGCCTTATTGATGACGATCCAGGTGTGCAGACGCCCTTGGCGTGACACCGCGTGGAGTGTGTGGGGTCACACCAGGCTCCGCACTTTGAGGGGCCCCGAACCCTTGTAGGGACAGGGCTGGCCAAGGCACCTGGGCATTTCCCCTCTAGCCCTGGAGCCCAGTTTGCCTCGGCCCAGGGACCCTGCAGCAGTCGCCTTCTGGCCTTATTGATGACGATCCAGGTGTGCAGACGCCCTTGGCGTGACACCGCGTGGAGTGTGTGGGGTCACTGAGACACACGCAGGGGCCCGTCACCCTGCAGCCCCCCAACCGGGGTCCCCTCAAGTCGCTGGGCTGGTTTCAGTCCACGGCAATGAAAGGGATTGTCAATATCGGGGGGAAACTCCTGGGCTGCGTGCCCAAGGGGATCTCAGCGCGACAGCGGCCGGCCTGCGCGCCGGGCGTGGGAAGGAGACAAAGCCAGGCCAACAGGGCTACGTCTACACTGGTTTGATTTTCCAGTAATTCTTTTAACAGAAAAGTTTTCCGTTAAAAGCATTTTCGGAACAGAGTGTCTGGATTGGCAGGACGCTTTCACACAAAAGCACTTTTTGCGGAAAAGCGTCTGTGCCAATCTAGACGCGCTTGTGCGCAAAAAAGCCCAATGGCCATTTTCATGATCGGGGCTTTTTTTCCGCAAAACAAATCTGAGCTGCCTACACTGACCCTTTTGCGCAAAGGGACTTTTGCCTGAACGGGAGCAGAATAGTATTTCTGCAAGAAGCACTGATTTCAGACAGTAGGAAGTCAGTGCTTTTGCGGAAATTCAACGGCCAGTGTAGACAGCTGGCAAGTTTTTCTGGAAAAGCGGCTGATTTTCCGGAAAAACTGGCCTATGTAGACATGAACGGCGCCGGCAAAGGTCTGTCATGTTTGCACTTGGATCCCAGTCCCCAGAATGCTCAGCCTGCCCCTTTATGCACCTAATCTGCATGGAAATGGGCGCGCCCCTTCTGTCTGTCCAGGGGTTTGCACAACGGGTCTCAACATCTGGCCCCAGCTGTGCTCCTGCTAATCCTTCAAATGCTGCAGAGCTTGAGAATGGGCCTGACACGGGGTCCGGATGCGGGAGATGTGCACCCCATGCACTAGGGCCAGTCCCTCATCTCCCACTCCGGGCACTGCACATCCCGCCAGGCCTGGAGCGAAAGCTCTGCTGGCTTGGAAGAGGAGGCTGAGCCGAATCCCCCCTTTCCCCTCACATGTTCCTCTTTGTTCTGCAGATGGAGACGTCTGCCAGCTCCCTCCAGAGGTTGGCCCATGTAAGGCGTACATGCCCATGTACTTCTACAACCCCGTCACCAAGAGCTGTGAGAGGTTCATTTATGGCGGCTGCGGGGGCAACGGGAACAGGTTTGCCACTGAAGAGGAATGTCTGCGGGCGTGTGAACAGCCTGGTGAGAGACTGAGGGAAACTCAGCAAGTCGGGTCCCCCTCTACCCTGGTATCAGAGGCCTTCCTGCCACGGAGTCTGACCTCCATGATAACGGTGGACTGGCTGCGTCCCAGCAGTGCTAGAGCACCCACCGCGGCCCACGGCCCATGGCCCAGGGGCTCCGTCCGGTGCGCAGGCGGGAAAATCAGAGTCTAATGTCACACTCACAAATGATCCATACAAGAGTAAGAGAAACAGAACCAGCAGGTCAGGACATGAAGATCCCCTGTGCTCCTGCTAATCCTTCAAATGCTGCAGTGCTTGAGAATGGGCCTGACACGGTGTTCGGATGCACCGCACACTCTTCTCATGCCCTAGGGCCAGTCCCTCATCTCCAGCTCCGGCCGCTGCACATCCCGCCAGGCCTGGAGCGAGAGCTCTGCTGGCTTGGAAGAGGAGGCTGAGCTGAGCTTCTCTACAGAATCCCCCCTTTCCCCTCATTTGTTCCTCTTTGTTCTGCAGCTGGGGACGTTTGCCAGCTCCCTCCGGACACTGGCCCTTGTGAGGCCTACATGCCCATGTACTTCTACAACCCCGTCACCAAGAGCTGTGAGATGTTCATTTATGGCGGCTGCCTGGGCAACGAGAACAGGTTTTCCACCAAAGAGGAATGTCTGCGGGCGTGTGGACAGCCTGGTGAGAGACTGAGGGAAACTCAGCGAGTGGGGTCCCCAGTTGCCCCGGTAAAGACTGCCTTCCTGCCACAGAGCCTGACCTCCATGATAACAAGGGACTGGCTGCATCCCAGCAGTGCTAGAGCACCCACCGCGGCCCACGGCCCATGGCCCAGGGGCTGCACAGGCACAGGGCAGGAGACAGCCCTGCCCCGAGGACTCTGCCCCTGGCCAGAGGAGGGGCAGGGGGCTGAGGAGGAGCCGGCGAGCGGGGTCCACGGTGCAGCTCGTGCTGGAGCTGAAACGAAGGGGAAGGTCCCTGAGTCCCGGCCGCCAAGAACTGCCCGGCTGGCCCCGTCTGCAGCCCTGCCCGCTGGCTGCCGCAGGGACTCACCCTTGTCTCTGGCACAGCGGGGGCGGGGCTCACGGGCAGGCGTGTCCCAGACTCAGACACTGGGGAATGGCTCACACAGCTGCCCTGGCACCTGGGCATTTCCCCTCTAGCCCTGGAGCCCAGTTTGCCTCGGCCCAGGGACCCTGCTCTCCATGGAGGTGAAGCAGCAGCCGCCTTCCGGCTTCATGACGAGCCAGGTGTGCAGACGCCCTTGGCGTGATGCCGCGTGGAGTGTGTGGGGTCGCTGAGACACACGCAGGGGCCCGTCACCCAGCAGCCCCCAACCGGGATCCCCTCAAGTCGCTGGGCTGGTTTCATTCTGGGTCCTTCTGATCAATGGTGAGGGATGGGATTGTCCCAGAAGGGACAGTCCATCCCCAGCCCCCCCACGTCCTCCCCTGTCTCCAGCCCCACTCCAGCCTCCTGCCCATTCCCTGGCTCTTTCCAGGAGGGTATCAGAGCTGCACAAACCCTGCAGCAGCATGAGATTTCAGCATTGCCGGGCGCTAAGTGACCTCAGTGCACGTTACATTTCTCATGGCTTCAGGCCACTCTTATGTGAAGAGCTAGGGTACGTCTAGACTACACGCCTCTGGCAACAGGCATGTAGATTAGACTACCCGGCATAGGAAAATGAAGCGGCGATTTAAATAATCGCCACTTAATTTAAATTTACATGGCTGCCGCGCTGAGCTGATCAGCTGTTTGTCGGCTCAGCGCTTTGTCGACCACCCAGGTATACCTCATCCCAGGAGGCATACCTGGGTGGTCGACAAATGCCTTTGACGTCGACCCCCGCGCGTCCAGACTGCCGCACTGAGCCGACAAACAGCTGATCAGCTCAGCACGGCAGCCACGTAAATTTAAATGAAGAGGCGATTATTTAAATCGCCGCTTCATTTTCCTATGCCGGGTAGTCTACTCCACATGCCTGTCGCCAGAGGCGCGTCGTCTAGCCGTACCCCTAGATACAATAGTTACACAGAATTTGTCTTAGAACTGTCAGGTACATTGTAAGTCATTTTTGCAGTCAGGTTCCATTTCTGATCATTTTCAGTGCCCTGACTAATGCTCTCAGTTTTTCGTGGAAAACTGCACGTGCATGTGCCTGCCCTGTTCTGGGACTCTGGCCTAGCTCTTCAGAGTGGGCTTTCATCCCCAGCTCCCATGCGTTAAGGACAAGGCCTTTACCTCATCTCCCGCTTACAGCCAGCCTGCAGCCTGCTGCCCTGTTCAGTTGGAACGGGAAGGCTGAGATGCTTTGTCAATTTCCCTTCTTTCATCCTAACCTGCCTGTCTCCTTCTGCAATGGCAGCGATCTGCAAGCTCCCCGTGGAACCCGGACCATGTTTTACCTACGTCCCCAACTACTTCTACAACTCAGTCACCAAGAGGTGTGAGGAGTTTATTTATGGCGGCTGCCAGGGCAACGAGAACCGGTTTCCTAATATGGATGAATGCCTGAAGATCTGTGGAAGCTCAGGTAGGAGAGCAAGAGAAGTCAGCTAGTTGGGTTGTGAGCTGCGGGGGCGAGAGGGACATTAATGCAGTGATGCTGGGGCTGATAGCCATGGTAGTGATTCCTTGGCTGCATCACAGCAGTGCCTATGTAACTACCCATGCCGGCTGGGTGTGGGTCACTGCCCCATCTAGTGGCACGTAGGCCACTTACAGAGCGAGTGAATGTGTTTGCTCTGCTGCCTTAGCTGAGAGCCAGCAGGCTTCTAGCTCACGAAGGTCCCAGGTTCGGTTCCGCAGGTTGGCATTACACCGTAGGCTCTGAGAGAGACCAGGCGCAGACTCACCCAGACAACCTGTGCCCGGGGGTGCTCAGCCTGAATAGACAAGGGGGTGCTGAGGGGTAGTGTGTGAGAGGAGTCCATAGCACTGTTCATGAGGGGTTGGAACTCATAGGAAGGTCCCGAGTCCGGTAGCTGTGTCCAGCGTGCTCTGGAAGCCCTGGCTAGGGACATAACAACAATGCCAATTCTGTGGAACAGCCTGCACTTCCTGAGCCGGGGTTTCACCGCGGGTCCTGAGGTAGCCCCAGCTCTCGTACACTGGGGACAAGGTCTCCTGTAACCCTTACTCCATGCTGCTGCACCTTGCGCCCTCGCCTTCCACAAGATTGGGCCCCGTTCATTTTGAATGAACCCCTTCGCAGCATTCCTACCTTGTCTCTCCTTGTTCTGTAGATATAGACGTCTGCCAGCTCCCACGGGACCCTGGCCCATGCCAGGCCTTCGTGAGCCACTACTTCTACAACTCGGCCACCAAGGCGTGTGAGGAGTTCAGGTACGGCGGCTGCCAGGGCAACGAGAACAGATTTGCCACCAAAGAGAAGTGTTTCCAGACATGTGGACGCCCAGGTAACGTGATGGTGGAAACTCACTTTGCTGGGTTGTGAGCTGCCCAGGCCAAAGGCGCTTTAGAGAAAGATGCCAGAGCTACATGGGTGATATTCAGTAAATCTTTGGGCCATCTCAAGTGTTCCAAAAATGAATATTTTACCAGTATTTTATCAGGGTAAATACAACGATCGGGATAACTACCTCACCTGAGGATCCTGGGAAAGATACCGCAACGGCTCAGGATCCCAATGAATAAAAAATTAAAGGAAGGTAATATAATAAATGCTAATGACAATGCGTTCATGGAAAATAGACCCTGTTAAACTAACTTGATAGCTTTTTTATGAGATTACAAGTTTGACTGGAAAAGATCATAATGTGGATGCAGTCTGTTTGGGCTTCAGCAGCGTGTTTGACATTTTGACTAAAAAGTGAGATAGCTATAAAACAAGCCCAGTGCATTGAGTGAATTAAAAGCTGCTCACAGATAGGTCCCAAAACGTAACTGCAAATGGGGAATCATCATTTAACTGGTGTTTTTCTTGTGAGGGTCCACAGGAATCAGTTCTTCTCCCTACAATATTTAACATTGTCACTAATGATCTGAAAAAACCCATAAAAACAGCACTGAGAACATTTGCAGATGATACAGAAATTGGGGAGTGGTAAGTAACGAAGGGGCCAGGTCAGGGATACTGCGAGTTCTGGATCCTTTGGGAAGCAGGATACAAACAAATAACATGCATTTTAAAAAAGCATGCATAATCTCTGCCCCGTCATTGCCATCCGCCCAAGTGGGTTTTTCTGGCTACACCACTGGGATAAACAGGAATCTTGAGTGGGACCAGAGAGGCTCTTTTACCCCTGTGCTCAGCACAGGTCTGGCTGCTGCTGGATTCCTGTGTCCGGTTCTGGTGCCCACAATTCAAGAATAAAGGTGATAAATTGGAGAGGGTGCAGAGAAGAGCCAGGAGAATGATAAAAGGGTTACAAAACCTGCCTGACTGTCTCAGGGGGGTTGTTGTGTTAGTCTGTGACTTTAAAAACAAGTAGTCCTGTGGCACCTTAGGGTCTGTCTACACTAGGCACACTAGTTCGAACTAGGGTGGCTCATGTAGTCATTCGAACTTGCAAATGAAGCCCGGGATTAAAATATCCCAGGCTTTATTTGCATGTTCCCAGGCACCGCCATTTTTAAATGTCCGATAGTTCGGACTCCGTGCCCGCGGCTACACGCGGCACGAACTAGATAGTTCGGATTAGGCTTCCTATTCTGAACTACTGTTACTCCTCGTGGAACGAGGTGTACCGGTAGTTCGGAATAGGAAGCCTAATCCGAACTACCTAGTTCATGCCGCGTGTAGCTGCGGGCACGGAGTCCGAACTATCGGACATTTAAAAATGGTGGCGCCCGGCAATATGCAAATGAAGCCCGGGAAATTCAAATCCCGGGCTTCATTTGCAACTCCAGTTGCCTACATTAACCACCCTAGTTCGAAGCAGGGTGGTAGTGTAGACAGACCCTTAGAGACTAACAAAATATAGAGAATGTATTGGATAAGACCCACTTCATCAGGTGAGTAGGAGTGGAAGATACATGTAACAGCAAAAGTACCCGTCAATTGCAGGACCCATGATAATGAAACTAATTACATGGTCTGGATATGTTTCATTCATAGCTTGTGATGTGAAAATGCAGAAATCAAGGGTAAGGGAAATTGGCTTTGTAATGGGCCAACCAGTTAATATCTTTGTTCAAGCCCAGGGTAACAGTGTCAAATTTGTAGATGACTTCTAGTTCTGCAGTCTCTCTCCATAACTGGGTGATAGACTCAAGGAGCTTGACTTATTTAACCTAAAAACGACAAGGTTAAGGGTTGACTTGATGACAATCTCCAAGTACCAACACAGGGAACAAGCCTTTAATAATGAGCTCTTTAATCTAGCAGAGAAAGGTGTAACATAATCCCATGGCTGGAAGTAGAAGCTAGACACATTCAGCCTGGAGTAAGGTGCATATTTCACTGGAATAAGGTGTTTGCCATTGGAACATGTGACCAAGGGTTGAGGTGGAAGCTCTCTAGTGTGCATTTCACGAGGATACCGGAGCTGTTGGCAAAGGCTTCCCTTGTCCACCGCGGCGCGTCCAGACTGCCCCGCTGTGCTGCCAAACAGCTGATCGGCACAGCGCGGCGGCCATTTTGATGTAAATGAAGCGGCGATTATTTAAATCACCGCTTCATTTTCCTCTGTCTAGTAAACTTATCTGCATGGCTCCGTCGACAGAGCCATGTAGTCGAGACGTACCCCAAGAGTCTATGAATGGCTGTTGGAATGACTGGTTGGCTGCATCGCCCCAAAGCCTGAGGAACCAGCAGAGGCCAGGACCCCATCGTGCCGGGCACTGCACAGGCACAGTGGGCGCAGACCATGCCCCAAGGAGCTCAGAAGCTGCACAAGCAAAGTGTGGCAGGGCCTGCGGAGGAGAAGGGTGAGAGGAGGCCATGCCCCCCTTGTCCAAGCAGCTGCATTCCAGCCTGCTCTGGAAGCCCCTGGCTGGGGAGTTAATGACACTGACAAGCCTGCAGGACACATTCAAGCCTTTCACCCAGGACTGCAGATCTGCTGGCCTGGTGCGGAGGAGTCAAGCTCACTTCTGGCACAGCCAAGACGGGGCTCAAGGGGCAGGAGTTCCAGGCAGCCTCAGACTCTTCAGGGCAGGAGAAATGGCTACAGAGCTCCCGTGAGCGCTGGGCATATCCTCACAAACCTCAGGCTAGTGCCCAGGAGCCCAGCTTTGCCTTTAAAACACTGGTCCCCAACGTGGTGCCCGCGGGCACCATGGCGCCCGCCGGGGCATTTACATGTGCCTGCCAAGTGCTCGGGGCCGGCCCCACCCTGGGTGCGCGGCACATGCGCCGGCTCCGGGCGTGCGGTGAATGGGGAGCGCTGGCTCCGGGCACACTGCTGGGGGGTGCTGGCCCTGGACGCGCAGCGAATTGACGGCCCTGCCCCCGGATGCACGGCACACGTGTGGCCCCACCCCCGGGCGTGCGAGCGGCCCCACCTCTGGGTGCCCGGCACAGGAGTGCCCCGCCCCCGGGCGCCTGGCAGCTCCAAAAGGTTGAGGACCACTGCTTTAAAAGATAAGAATGGCTGGGCTGGGGTATGTCTACCCTGCAGAGGTTTTTCTGAAAAAACTCCAGGTACATCCACACTGCAATTGTGTTCTTTTGAAAATCAATCAGAAGAGCAGCGGGGTTTTCTGACATTGGTAAAACGAGGAAGAAGCCTTTTTCTGAAAGCTCTCTCGGAACAAGGCGTGTGTGGACGGGGAAGGGGGAGTCTAGACATAGCCTGGGTCAGCCCAGTGTCCTGTCTCCTAACAGGCCAGTGCCAGGTGCCCCAGAGGGAGTGAACAGAGCAGGGAATCATCCAGTGAGACGTCCCCTGTCGCCCCTTCCCAGCCTCTGACAAACAGGGACTAGACTCATAGGACACTAGAACTGGAAGGGACCTCGAGAGATCATCAAGTCCAGTCCCTGGCCCTCATGGCAGCACCAAGCACCGTCAGATCATCCCTGCCAGGTGTCTGTCCAACCTGCTCTTAAATATCTCCAGTGATGGAGACTCCACAACCCCCATACGCAACTTATTCCAGTGTTTAACCACCCTCACAATTGGGAGGTTTTCCCCAATGCCTGACCCAAACCTCCCTTACTTCAATTTAAGCCCATTGCTTCTTGTCCTGTCCCCAGTAGATAAGGAGAACAATTTATCACCCTCCTCTTTATAACAACCTTTTGCACACTTGAGGACTGTTATGATGTTCCCGCTCAGTTTTTTCATTTCCAGACTAAAACCCCATTTTTTTCAGTCTTTCCTTGTAGGTCATGTTTTCTAGGCCTTTAATCAGGTTTTGTTGCTCTCCTCTGGACTTTCTACAACTTATTCACATCTTCCCGACACTGTGGTGCTCAGAGCTGGACGCAGTGTTCTGGCAGAGGCCTTATCATTGCTGAGGAGAGCAGAAGAATTACTTCTTGTGCTTTGCTTCCCACACTCCTGCTGCGCAAGTCAGAACGCTGTTCGCTTTTTTGCAACAGTGTTCCACTGTAATAATCCCTAGATCCCTTTCTGCGGTGCTGTTTCCCAGGCACTCCGTTCCTGTTCCGTGTGTGCAGTTGAGCGTTTCTTCCTAAGTGGAGCACTTTGCATTTGTCCTTGTTGAATTTTATCCTGTTGCTTTCAGATCATTTCTCCAGTTTGTCAAGAGCATTTTGAATTTTAAGCCTGTGTTTCAAAGTGCTTGCAACCCCTCCCAGCTTGCTATTGTCAGCAAATTTTATGAGTACCCTTTATGCCATTATCAAATTATTTATGAAGATATCAAACAGAACTGGATCCAGGAGAGATTTCTGCAGGACCCCATTTAATATGCCTTTCCATTTTGACTGTGAACCATGGTAAACCATACTTAGAGAGCAGTTATCAAACATGCTGTGCACTACCTTATAATAGGGTGGCCTGGGGGTGTATTTCTCTAGTTTGCTTATGAGAAGGTAACGCGTATATGGTCATATCAAAAAGCCTTACAAAAGTCAAAATGCATCATAAGAACATAAGAACATAAGAACGGCCGTACTGGGTCAGACCAAAGGTCCATCTAGCCCAGTTTCCTGTCTGCCGACAGTGGCCAGCACCAGGTGCCCCAGAGGGGGTGGACTGAAGACAATGATCAAGCGATTTGTCTCCTGCCATCCTTTTCCAGCCTCTGACAAATAGAGGCCAGGGACACCATTTCTATCCCTTGGCTAATAGCCTTTTATGGACCTAACCTCCATGAAATTATCTAGCTTCTCTTTAAACTCTGTTAGGGTATGTCTACACTACCACCCTAGTTCGAACTAGGGTGGTTACTGTAGTCATACGAACTTGCAAATGAAGCCCGGGATTTGAATTTCCTGGGCTTCATTTGCATGTTGCCGGGCGCCGCCATTTTTAAATGTCCGCTAGTGTGGACTCCGTGGTAAGTTCTCCAAGGTAATTGCTAATGGCTCATACATCTCGAGCCAGTTCCTTAAATATTCTAGGCTGTGTTTCATCAGGGCCTGCCAAGATGAATATATCTAACTTGTCTAATTACTTCTTAACTTGTTCTTCCCCCCATTTCAGCTTCAGGGCCTGCCCCATTGGCACCAATGCTCACTAGGTGAGTCACTGCTCACCTTTTTAGTGAAAACTGAAAGAAAGGCATTTAATGCTTCAGCCTCTGCTGTGTCTTCTGTTATTGTTTTTCTCTCTTACATGAGTAATGGGCCTCAGGCGACCTCTTACTTCTAATGTATTTGTAAAATGTTTCCTTGATATCCTTGATGTCCTTAGCTAGTTTAATCTCATTTTGTGCCGGGAGCCTTTCTAATTTTGTCCCTATGTGCTTGTGGTGGTGTTTTTTATATTCATCCTTCATCATTTGACCCAGTTTCCACTCTTTGTATGGCTCCTTTTTGAGTTTCCGGTTATGAACGGTCTGGTTCAGGCAGGGTGGTCTTGTACTATACTTCCTGTCATTCCTGTGCACTAAGATAGTTTGCACTTGTGCTCTTAATAAAAAAAGCCACCTGCCATGAACTCTTTCCTCCTTAGACTTGCATCCCATACGATGGTATCTATCAATTCTCTGAGTTTGCTGAAGTGTGAATTCTGAAACTCCATTGTCTTTATTCTGTTTTTTTCTCCCACCAGTCTAATTCATGCACCTACTTCACCTGAAAAATTGCACATGCCTTTTGCTTGCCCATTTGTCTGCCTGATGTTTCTGAAATCCTGGCACTAAACACTCTTCAGCTCATCATGTCAATGGTAAATGGTCTGGTAGCACTGTATAGACTCACAAAACATGTAGCTGGGATCAGAGCTGTCGTGGGCACAGCCCAAAGGGTGTCATTCTCGAGCATGGGTTTTAAAGGGTGTTGATACTACAAGCGCGCGCGTGCGCACAGTTTTCATGTGCTAGGGGCAGGGTTTCCTTTAGCCCCATTGCCCTCTCTAGATGCTGCACCTCGCACCCCGCCTACAGCCCGAGAGCCTGCGAGTTCAGAACGAGGACGTTGAGATTCTTTGCAGAAGACCCCGCTTTTCCCCAAACCCATCTGTCTTTCTTTTGTAGTTAACGAGATCTGCAAGCTCCCTGTGGACGCTGGCTCGTGTTTTTCCTACATGACCCGCTACTTCTACAACTCAGTCACCGACAGCTGTGAGGAGTTCATTTATGGGGGCTGTGAGGGCAATCAGAACCGGTTTTCCACTAAAAATGAATGTCTCAAGACCTGTGGAAGATCAGGTAAGAGAGCGAGAGAAACTCAGCGGCTTGGCCTGGGAGCTGTCCAGGCAACGGAAACATTAGGGCTAAGCTCCTGGGGTTAGAGGAGCTGATCTCCTGTGACGTAGTGGGGGTACCTGGCTGGTTTCTATGCTGCTGGCTCTGGGGGAACCCCCACTGGCTGCCGTGGGTACCACGACCCAGCAAAACAGGATGAGTCACTATGCAAACCAGTGGCCAGACACCCCCCATGGAGAGGAACAAAGGAAGGTGGAATGCTGCCTTGGCTGGGGGGCAGGGCTGGAAGTTAGGGAGTTGGTTGCTGGCTGTCGGAGGGCATGGAGGAGAGCCTAGGGGAAGGGGCTGGAGTTTAGGGGCCCAGTCTCCCCCATCTCAAGGGGGCCTGAGGCATCCTAGCCCAGTTCCTGTAACCAGATTACATCTGTGCTGCGCTGTGCTGGAGGAGCAATAAACCACCCTCAATTCCACTGGCTGGTGCAGTCTGTTTGTGCCATTTCGGGGTGCAGGAGACGGGGAACCCCCAACGCGCCGTCACA